TTGCAACAAAGCTATAAACTCGAAACCCTACTTTAGTAAGAGCATGGTTGTCCCTAGCATTATGCCAGATCAATCTAGGCAATATCTGAGACCAAATAATTTTCAATAATTGGTGTTTGGTAACGGAACTAAAATTGAATCAAAAGAATTATTTAAATGCTATAATGCAAAACACAAGATGGAATTTGACCATTGACGTTGCCATCGCAATGTAGAACCAGATTATACTTGTGGGGTATCTTCATACCTTAACATTAATTTGATTTTTGGGAGGAGATGTCACATCTCATGCTGCATTTTCCCTGCCACCAGATATTAGCTTTCAATGTAGATAACCCAAAACTGGACCTTCCCATTTTGTTTAGCATAACCAAAACCAGAAGTCTCTGTCGAGACTGTAGCTCTACTTTTTATACTTAAAACAAAGGGAAAGAAAAGTAGCAGTTGGGACTTGAAACTTTAAAACAGCAATAAATAGAAAAATGATCCTTGCCACTCATCAATATAAAAAACCGATGCACAGAATTATGTATCTTAGTATAGTCTACTTGTGTGCCAAGTTTTGAAATCGGACCAAAACTGTATGAGGAGTGGCATTTTGAAAGAATTTCACAGAAATTTCTATTTTTAGTAACCATGGCAGCATCATTCATCGAAATCCCACAATCATGTCATATTATTGAAGATCCAGAAATACATATTCTTACACCCTCTGAAATATTTGTAAACAAAAATGATTATATTTAAAATAAGATTTTGCATAAAGGTATTAGAAAACCTATCAAGCTATAATGCTTGAGGTGCTTAAGAAGTAATACAACCGATTGAGTCTTTAGCCATCAATGAATTTGAGTTTGGTATTCTTATTTATCTCTTCTAAGCTTTTGATCCCCAACGACCCAATTCTTGCTATTATTGGCAATCTAGCATCTACAGAACTTTGCAGTCTTGACATGCCTACCACCATCTTTTTCATAACAAAGTCTCAAGTACCATCAAGTTTACATTTAAAGCTTGTACCTGACAGATATGTTCTTACCCTAGCAGATGACAGATACTTTAATGAATTTAAGTGAATAAAATTCTGTATAAAATAAATAAATACTTTAATGAACAACTAGCCATAAAATCTATTTTTCATCAGGATGCCAAACACAAGATAATAAGACAAGCCTTGAACTGTATATTGTTTAAACTGGAACAAGCTAAAAAATGTGATGTCCCTGATTACTTCATTACCAACCCATTCACTTTGCCTCTTGAAAAACAACAAACGATTCTTAAAGAAAGCACCACAAACTAATTCTGAATTCCATGCACTGTCAGTAAATAATGGGAGTTGATCATCATCTACTCAGCCAATTTGTGGAAAGTAACAGCAGCCATTAAGGGGGATGTACGGCCACCTTTAGTGCAGTGAGAACAAAATGTAAACATTTCTTCAAATGGCTAAAGTATATTATATTTTGATCAAATTTTAAGTCTTTATGATAAAGATACAATAAATATGTATAACTGAATGCATGTTGTGCATATATAATCTATACTTTTGCAGAAAAATGCTTTTGATATGCTCCTTAGACCTGCGCAGCTACAGAATTCAGCAGAGCCTTAAAAAATCCAAAAAAATACGCAAACTGTGCATTAATGTTCTCTCTACAACCATTTGTTGAGAGAATGTCTAAAGTTTGCACTTTTAAATGATAATTTTAGGTTCAAAACAAGGTATCGTTGTCTTCAAAAAGAGTAAAGAACCCTGAAAGTAGTTCATCGATAGCAGCACGTGGTCTATTTTTAGCACAAAATTTTGTTTTCCAGACCTCTTCTTTATATGGAGGGACATAACAATCTTTTAATGTAGAAGAGAATTACTGTTGCAAAATATTTCAAATAATATGAACACTTTTAAAAGAGGAAATGTGTTATAGTGTGGCTTGAAGTAATTTATTTAGTATTATTATCGAACAGTTGTTAAATAGTGTACGGATTGATATAAACTTTTTGATTCCAAGTAAGGAAAAATGAGCACCATCAAAGTAAAAAATTAAAAGATTGTAAGTTTGCCACAGATAACTTATAATATCTATCAAAAGTTTAATTATCACCAATGAAACACAAAGAAATTAAAGACATAAAATCGATATGAAAAACCTTGTGTTAGTACCTACTAGTGCGAGGGGTGATCAAAAAGTTCTCGAACTATCTCTATAATTTCAAAACCACAATTTAGATTAGAAACAAAATTGGTGCACACACAAGTTCTATAAATAGCATATGCTGAATAAAGTTTTGCTCACAATGTGAAAATGAAGTCATTATGCAGGTACTTGTGACGAAAAATGGTTGTCTCAGTGGAACTCATTCAACAAACGACTAAAATATTTATGCTTAAAAATACCTTTGAAGTAGCGTATAAGAATTTGTTCATAGTTTATTAAGACAAATGACTTCCTAATAATTCAATCAATGATTGGATAGATCGTTTAGTGAAGGAAGGCAGATGGTTGAATATGATACTTGTTATGTTGCCCGGTGACAGCAAGTTTGAAAAGGGGTTTGTTTTTAATTAAGCAATATGGTATCAAAGATCTCCAATTTACACTTTGAAAAATACTTGAATATTTCAACAATAATAACTATCAAATACCTAAGATATCGTTTACTTTTGATCACCCCCCCCCCCCCCGTATACTCTGTCAAATAAGCATTTACAATTTTCATTACAGCGGAGCAACATTTGAAAAGGAATAAAATCATTCAGAGTGGGTTAGGAGATTTAATGAATAACTTTTTTCTATTTGCCCATTTTGTCAAAATTACAATTTTACAGAGTAAAGAAAAAAAATCAACATATTTAAATATTTTATACCATCTTTAAAATGACGTTTGGTGGTCCTCACAACTCTGAGAAAAATTATTGAGTCCGTATTTATAGGTGAGAAAAAAATTTCCTTAAAATTTAAACATATTTGTTGACGGAAGAAAAAAAATCCTGTAATTGGGATGTAAAATAAAGTTGAGTCGGGCCATTTCTAGGCAGTAGATCGGGAGAGAGGGCAACCAAATATTTTTTTTATAAAAAATGGTCTTATAAGGCTAGTACATGTTCCATCACATACTTAATAATGCAAAATATTTGAATCTTCGGCACTATTTTGAAAAAAGAACATAGGATTTTCGGGGGAGGGGGGGGGGGGGGTAGTCTCTCATTTTTTTGCGATGATAGACATAGCATATGCAATGGAACTTTCTTTGCAAACATTGTGCTTGCTTCTAAATTTCAAAGAAACAACTCAATATATTTTATCAAGCTTCGTATGTTCAATGAGCGAGAGCTTACAACGTTGTCAACATAATGAGACATGATGCGTTTTTATGTCCAAACATTACTCCATACAATGAGTTGGTGATTGCAAACAATCAAGCTATTTATGTGAGGTGCCTGAAGGAAAACCTATAACTGCCTAATTTTTCTATCTAACTGCTAAACAAAATAGACATATGTACCAACTTTTCGAATGTAAGACATGTAATTAAAATTTGTTTTTCATGCACCGCATATTGTTTAACATTTTCAAATTAAATGCTAAGCATCTTCCTTGCAGTGCCCCATTTCAAAATAACTTCAATCGCCACAGAAAAAAAGACCCGACGTAAACACATATGTTTAGGACATTTTTTATCTTTTTTCTTGAGTTTTAAAGAAACCAACAAATTATCAAGATTTGTTTCATGAAAAATTAAATATAATCATGGTGATAAACGCATCTATCCACAGCAGATATATGCACATGCCAACCACGTGCTCAGTGTAATAATATTAACGAGGAAACTCGAGCTGTATACAGAACAGTTTTTCCCGATTTGCTGGAGAGGGGTTAAAATCGCGTTTTTTCATTAATCAGACGAAGCGATGCAACAAATAAAAGTAGTAAGTAATATTACCTAATGATTATAACTTAGTAATTTCTTGTCTTGATGTTATTGTGGTCGCATATATTCTAAAACCATTGTTATTCGAACTCTGTGTGTCAGAGGAATGGCGGACGAAATAAACACATGGCCTCAGGAAGACACACATATGAAAAATCAAATTTTCAAGAATTATGGATAATGACAAGAAAAAAGCGAAACAAATGGTTGTAGCCATATTATCAATGAATCAAACTTACACCATTTTCAATGCATTTTTCATCTCGTGAATGCTGTAGCTGCGCAGTTCTACCATGATTAACACTGCATGAAAAGTCGGGTTTAATTTTACCTTAAATGCGATTTAAATGCTGCGATTATTTAATGTTTAAATGCATAATATAACATATTGTGGGATCGTAAATGTTAGAAAATAATTAGCATTTAATACGAGTTTAATGAAAAATTAAAAGAACAAATTTAATAAAGTTTGGAAAATTGTAAACTTACTAATACGTTCGGATTTAAGTCTGCCTTAAACAAATATTATACCTCTAATATACAAAACGTATAATTATTATTAAACATGGCCATAAAATTAAGTTTTAGGGTCATATTAAATTTGTTCGTTTAATAAAATTTAACGTAGATCTTTACCTCATTATTTTTTGTTAAATTCACACTTTACTTTATAATACTTCCAAAAATTAAGTTATATACGGAAAATTGTAAACTTACTAATACGTTCAAATTTTAATCTTTCATAAACTAATATTAAATCTCTTGTATATGTGATGAAAATGTACGGATTAAACCTTCCCATATCATTAAGATTTAAGGTTGTATTTGATGAAATTTAATATTATTATATTACTGCACAATATTTTTATTTTTATACTTATTCCATCAATAATTTGTATGGTTTACAATTGTGGGTTTTTTGGCAAGTATTTTACAATCATACACAAATCCATTTCTCATTCAATTTTATTAGATGTTATCTCAATAGTGTACAAACAATGAGTTCTAACAAAGTACAAGATATTTCAAATTTATGCCTAAAAGTCAGAATTAAAAAAATTACAATCATGATTGTAGCTCTATTATAATAGAGTAAATTTTACATACTAGTAGTAAGTAATATACTGAAGTAATTAAAAATAATTTAATATAAGACTAGAATTGTATGTAAAATTCAAATCCGCAATAAATCAGAACACAACAGGTCAAAAATGTAGTCATTCTGGACTCCAAAATACTGCAAAATCTGACTGAAACTGCCCCTAATAAAACTGCTGCATGAGTTGTAAATGGCTTTTCAATTTCCCACAATAAATTATATCATACTTTGCATAAAAAGAATAAAAGTTGCCAATAAAAGTTGTCCATTCTTTTTACATGTACATTTAATAAGACACACTAAGCCACTGACAGAGAAGCCTCACTTGCCCACAAGCAACAGCAAAAGGATCGGTCAGAGACACCACCTTTCTCTTACTTGGGTATCAAGATCTGCAACTTACTGCCAGCAAACCTCTTTCAGACCACCCTTATATTGTTTCCCAAGTATTTCCACAATAGATGTCCATGCACTAATTATTCAAGTTCAACTTGTAAAATACTTAATGTTGACTGTGAAAAATACAACACCCAAAAAAATCTTTTATATCATTTGGTTATGTCAATTCAAATTAAGGAAAAAGTATCACAATTACACAAAACAATAGCAGCTTAAATTTGTTTACAATACATGTAGCTCATTTCTGCTCCAACTGCTAGGTTTATTGCTTGATGACTGTAATTTAACATATCCTCATTAAATCAACTTTACATTGGAATGCAAGACATTTCAATAGTGATATTTTTAACTTTGCCTTAAAATATCAAGAATGAGCTCTGAAACATGCACATATAAAAGTCCTGTATAAACATATGTACAAGTATATTTAACAAATTTTTTTAAGCCTTAATTACAATTCCATAACTCATAATTCATAAACTCTCTTACTTCAAATGGAAGGAAACAAATAAATATTTTACTCTTGCAATTCTCATTACTCTTGCAATATCAATTGTAATATTTATTAAAATCACAATTCACCCCTTTTTTACTAAGAAATGTCTCTACCTCATTTGCCTATTCTATTTTTTACATCTATGACTCACTAAGCCACTGACAGAGAAGCCTCACTCGCCCACAAGCAACAGCAAAAGGATCGGTCAGAGACACCACCTTTCTCTTACTTGGGTATCAAGATCTGCAACTTACTGCCAGCAAACCTCTTTCAGACCACCCTTATATTGTTTCCCAAGTATTTCCACAATAGATGTCAATGCACTAATTATTCAAGTTCAACTTGTAAAATACTTAATGTTGACTGTGAAAAATACAACACCCAAAAAAATCTTTTATATCATTTGGTTATGTCAATTCAAATTAAGGAAAAAGTATCACAATTACACAAAACAATAGCAGCTTAAATTTGTTTACAATACATGTAGCTCATTTCTGCTCCAACTGCTAGGTTTATTGCTTGATGACTGTAATTTAACATATCCTCATTAAATCAACTTTACATTGGAATGCAAGACATTTCAATAGTGATATTTTTAACTTTGCCTTAAAATATCAAGAATGAGCTCTGAAACATGCACATATAAAAGTCCTGTATAAACATATGTACAAGTATATTTAACAAATTTTTTTAAGCCTTAATTACAATTCCATAACTCATAATTCATAAACTCTCTTACTTCAAATGGAAGGAAACAAATAAATATTTTACTCTTGCAATTCTCATTACTCTTGCAATATCAATTGTAATATTTATTAAAATCACAATTCACCCCTTTTTTACTAAGAAATGTCTCTACCTCATTTGCCTATTCTATTTTTTACATCTATGACTCACTAAGCCACTGACAGAGAAGCCTCACTCGCCCACAAGCAACAGCAAAAGGATCGGTCAGAGACACCACCTATCTCTTACTTGGGTATCAAGATCTGCAACTTACTGCCAGCAAAGCTCTTTCAGACTACCCTTGATTGTCTTATTTTTTCCCACAATAATATCCATGCACTTATTATTTAAGTTAGACTTGTACATATATGTAATATATAAATCAAGATTAAAATGTATGTGATTGCAGATTACACAACAAACCAATAAATGTTTAAACAATAAAAAACTTAACAGTTTTAATCTGTAATCAAGCATCAGAAAAAACTTTCACTTTCAAAAATACAACACTAGGTATATTTTTCTTATCTAACATTGAATGTGTCAACTAAAGATAAGTAAAAAAAGCATCACATTTGTGCAAAACAGTAGCAATTCAGATATTTCATCTCTAATAGCCTATCTCTGTTCAATTACTACATCCAAAGGTTTGACTCTTTTAGATTCTTTATTTGTCCTAGTTCTTCTTATGCTCTGCCTTTTGGAGTGCTTTGATTTGAGAGTGGCACTTTTGGTGTCCTGTTCTTTGAAGACTTTATTTCTCACATTCATCAGAACGCAACTTCAGTTTTCTAATTTCATAGATAGTTTTATCTTTAGAATCATTTTTTGTACTATGAAGACGTAATCAATATTTAAAACTGCTTCTTCTTGCTTTTTCTTCTCTTCATGCCAAGAAGTTTTCAGCTCTGGAGAAGCACATCTAGCTCCTAATTTCTACAACAAACATAAAAATAAATACCCATTTGCCTATATATACATATTATATGTGTGCTTCCTGATTTATGCAATTGCATATATTAAATAGTTCACAAAATCTGAGTTGATTGTAAAATTATCAATTGACCTTGAGGAAACACAGCTCAATTTTGCTTAATTAAAATATTTACAGAAGACCACAAAAGATAGGCCATTTTTTCAAGTCTGGGTAATAAAGACAGATAATTATCTATAATTTCAGGCCAGCGAGCTACAGATTTTGAAGCTAATGTTGTTATACATGTAAATTGGGGACTAATGATTTTTTCACCATCTTTTTTTTTAAGCATTTTACCACTACGATTACCTGCTTGACCTTGAACATGTTGAGGTGCCCTTTTCTCTGCTCCTCCACAATAATTCTTTCATTTAGCAGCAAGATACTAAGGATATGGTAAAAAGCTGTCACAAACAAAATATGAAAAATTAATAACAGGTATGGCTCTCCGTAGAAAGAATATACAAAAAAGGAGAAAAAATATACAAACAGGGTATACTTATGACTAACATGACTAAAGCAAAAAGATAACATTTTACACAATGAAAAAAATTCTCTGTGTCATCATTGTTAAGTAAATTGCATTAAAAAAACATATAATTATATGTATAGATCAAATCTATAGATGACAAAATATGATATGAAACATACATAATGGTACCGTAGTCCGAGCACATGGAATTTGAAGATTTACAAAGTTTACGAAAATGCAAAGAATAGCATTTACAGCATTTAACATATTAAGACACACGTAAATATAGTTTCACAGCAGCAAGCTACAGATTTTGTGGAAGTACATGTAAATTGGGGACTGGTGACTTTTTGCAATCTTTTTTTTTTGAGCAATTTACCAATGTATTTACCTGCTTGACCTTGAATATGCTGAGATGCGCAGCCCTTTTCTTCGTATTCCTCCACGATATTTTATTTAATGAAGCAGAATGATACTATGGATAAAAAAAAAATTATGAAAAATTAAAAGCAGGTATGGCATCTTGTAAAAAAAATATACAAACAGCTGTATTTATGATTAGAGCAAGTAGATAACATTCATACAATAATAAAATCCTTAAACTTTGTGATCTAGTACATATTATGATATGTATTAGATTAAATTTAGAGAAGACAAAACATGATATGAAATGGATGTACATACTCGGAACACATGGAATTTAAGAGTAAACAAAAATGCTAAGGTTAGCATCTACAGCATTTAACATGCAAGTTATTGGGATGGTGAGTAAGTGATTTAACATAAAGTAAAATATATTAACAACTTACACTGTAGATAGCAGGTTTTTAAAGTGGACAGAAAATGCAAAGTTCCAGTAAATGGTAGCAATCTCATACACAATAAGTTGTACAACAAATGATTAGTTCGTACCTCATACTAGGTAGCCAAATATCTGGTCAAGTCACTTTCAGAAGGAAGGCTCAGCAAGTTCAATGTTGATCATTCTCATAGCTACTTCAAACTTTTCTGGCACAATTTATGAAAGAAAAGATGTATCTTGCAGATTTTTTGTTCAAACTAGGAATAATTATCATGAATGTAAAAATTTGAAAAGTTTATAGATGACAGACGGATACCAGACACAGATCAGAAAACTCGCTTGGGTCTTAAAATGGCTCAGGTGAGCTAAAAAAAAAAATCAATTCATGTGATTTTATTGATCTTATCAGAAAATTCAAGAAATCTTACCTTTTGTGTTTATCTTCATGCTGCTTTTGTCATTTCTTGTGAGCATTTGGATTCCTGTAAATAATGCAAGCATAATTGTGCATCATAGAATATGATAGCTATTTTTAATAATTCATGCTTAAGTATTTAACGTAAAAAATTTATGCATAGCTCAGAATCCATTGCTATTGTATTTTTAGGATAAGGAAACTAAGAATATAAACCTCATCTTGTTTACTTGGTATATAGCATTTCAAGTTTTTGCAATATTTTTCATAGTCTTCGCTATGCTAAAATATACAAGTTAATAAAAATATTGTTAGTTTATTTGTATTAATTGAAAATTTGAGCTGCATGGTTCTCACCATTTTCACAAGCTGTCTACATAGCCGGCGCTGTGGGGAATCGTCTCAGGCACAGTCCACACTGCACCTATTTACATAATCAAAATGAGTGCTGAATATATTCTTGAGTATGCATTAAGAAATAAATAAATATTTTATTACATTGTACAACACACTCTGTAAATGCTGAACAGAGGAACACTTTAGTAACTAAAATTCTGAAACCAATCCCAAACGAGAAAATTCTGGTTAAAATCCATCTTTAAGAGAGATGATTAAAAGTGTTAAATAATTATTACAAAATTTAGATAGCGCTTGCCCAAACTTTTTTACTGCCAGGCATTTTATGTGTAGAGCCCAGACTAAGGAACAGTAACATTATCCGTAGCAGAGGCAATTGTTCATTCAAGGACACGTGATAAAATTTTGTACATTGTTCCTACCGCTAATAATGCAGGGTCGTACATGTAAATGTCTTCATCTTCTGTTAATACATAAATTCCATCCAAAGTTAATCATGCTTCTCCTTTTCGCGTCACTCTCTTTCGCCCCTTCCTCCCGTACAATATCATGATCAAGTTCAACATGGCTGCGTGGAACCCTCCAAAAAATTGAATTTCGGCGCGGTGTGTTGTTTTTAAATTAATTGCTTTTCGAGCCCGACTTCGATCCCGATGTAATTGTACTACAAAAGTAGTCGATAGAGAAAAAACTAAGTCATATTCCACAGTTTTGAAAAATCTACATAAGGGTTAAATAAATAAAAATGAGGAATGAATAAATTAAAATAAATAGGGTGCCTAAATCTTTTTTTTTTCAAAAATGTTTCAACATAAGTTTATATTAGGTATAAAGAATTATTTATGACATATTCAAAATACCAAAAATGTACTTAAACTTCAAGTATAAGCATATTTACTTTTACATGTCGATATCCTTAAACGAAACGTTTAATTTTCTCAATTAAACAATATTATTCTCGACGTATTTTGCATTAAATATGATTATACTTATTTGAAAACTGTACTTAATTATATCACAATATATCTCATATAAAATGTACCATTATACATAAATTAAATTCAATACAAGAAATTCACTGGAGTAAACGAATTTATTAAATTATATTAAACGCGACTTTTCATGCAGTGTAATTTCCTCCTAATTAAAACAAAATAAACTTATTTATTTACTAATTTTGGTCTCTAACAGTAGGTAACTAGTGCATTAGCACTTTGAGTAACTTTGGGCTAGTTTAGACGAGTATTAAGCGCATTACTGGTATTTCTTATTTCACACCAGACTAGATCCAATATGGCTTGTACATCCCCCTTAAACAAATCTAAAAAAGTAAGCCACACTTCCAAGTCCTCCTTAACCACAACAGAAACCCTGATAAAGTGGTGTGATTTACAGACCTCTTGCACGATGCCATGAATTATGCCTAGTGAATGCCCGGCCTGACAGAGTGACACACAAACAAAATTCAACAAACCTGCAAGAGCCTTAAATTCCTCTAGAGTAGCCTTCTTTCTTGACATAAAACTGTTGATCAAATCTCTAAACTATTCTACTTATCAACTGGGATTCTTAGAAATCATTTCAACCGAATCTAACTCAAAACCCAAAAAGGTCAGGAAAGTAGAAGGCCACACTGTTTTATCATCAACTATTGAGGGGACACCTAACTGCTCGCATAGCCCCACAAAGAACGACATGAGTTCATCACATGTATTCCTACCTGCCCTACCAGGAAACAAAAATCATCTAAATAATGCACAACAGATTTCTGCCCAGACTGTTGCTTCAATATCCATTCCAAATATGATGAAAATTCCTCAAAAGACTACAAGACACCACAAAATATTTATTTAAAACCTAAAAGCTCAAAGATCTGCCGGGTGAACAGGAAGCAACCCAAATACAGACTTGAGGTCCATTTTGCCCATCAAGGCCCCATTACCCTACAAACTTAGTTACCTAACCGCATCATCTAATGAGGAGTAATTGACTGAGGAGAAAGATGGCTCAATAAAGGAATTAACACTCGAGTTTTCCAGTTAAGATAAATGATGAATCAACTTAAATGATCCATCTTTTTTCGGTACTAAACCTACAGGTGAATTAAAGCCTAAGACTGGAAAAGGATCTTGAATGAAATGGGCCAGTAACTCTTCCAGCATTAATTTTTAAGAGGCCGTGTCAGTAACCATTGAGATTTACATGGAAAGTCAAAAATTTTGAATTGGGCAAAAACCACCCTAAAATATTTGAACAACAACAAAAAACACATTTAAGACAAATTTTACAAATTTATTCATCATCATTGGTTTCCATGGCAACAAATGTGATTTGCATAGTAAATTCTCAATGAAACATTGTAAAATAATACAAATTTAGACATATTTAAATGCAGAGGAGGGAACAATTGGAAGGTCTAAATTTGTTTTCTTATACTGAAATAATGAAAGATGCATCAGAAGAAAATATCTTCATGTCTGTAAGTATTTTCAAAAATTTTGATATGGTTGCTATGGCAACCGAAAAATGACAAGGTTTTCATGATGGGAATATCCATGGAAAATTAAGTTTTTTCAAAAGTTGAATACTTAAAAACGCAACAACCGTAGATATTGTATGTCATACAAAGTTAAAGATATTTCCCAATACTATGAAATAATAAAATAAAAATTGGTAGTCGGATGTCCCAATTTTTTTTTTCAGAAATCAAAATTTGCATTTTTTCAAAACACTTTCAATGGATTTTCGCAAGTTTTGGCAATTTTTTTTAAATATTACAACAGATATTTAATAGTTAGATGCCATATCTACAGAAACATAGTACTTTAGAAAAAACTCCATAAAATGTACGACTTTTTTTCAAAACAATAGGAAAAGTAATCTCCATAGCAACGGAATTTATACCCTAGCAACTGACTTGACTAGGATCGGCAAAACATGAAACATACACCCAGGAAATTAAAGCCTCTCAAGTGGAATATTTGGGTCATGGCATCCTGATCAACTGTCAACCCTGTTGTACTTACCCCATCATATAAGTAATAATAAGTACCATTGCTCTACAATGTCTAATAGTTATACAATATAGTCAGAATGTGGACCAAATACGCAAAAACTTGACCATATATGACATAACAAAAGCTGAAGTTATATGTCAAAATGACGCAATGTTCAACCCAAAGGGACTCCAATGCTGTCTACTGGCTAATTTACATTGCTGTACCATGTTTATTATTCAAGTTATAAACCTAAAAACAACTAGAACTGTCCAAATGGGACAAAATACCCCCCCGCTGGGTTTTTCAGAAGTTCTAAATCATGAATATTTTATGGATCGAAGAGAAGAGAGAAAAGCTAAAACATTTTCGTGCAAATGTAATTGCTCATTAATTTTTTTTATTTTTTTTATGAATGAAACGAAGGTGCAGCCTAAAAATAGACTAAATGTATGGATCACACATGAATTATGAATTTTTTTTGTCAGTGACCTTGAACTTGCATAAATGACCTTGGTTTAAAGTCATGACAAGTTCTCAGGTCAAAGCAATGTTTGTGTAAAATGGGAACCTTCTAAGTTTATCCATAAGAAAGATATGGACCAGACATGAATTATAATTTTTTTACTGTCTGTGCCCTTGAACTTGGACAAATGACCTTGGGTCAAAGTCATGACACACCCTTATGTCATAAGTAATCTTTGTGTAAACAAGAAAGTATCCAAGTTTATCAATAAGAATGATATGGACCAGGCACAAATTATGAAGTTTTTCCTTTCAGTGACATTAAACTTACACAAAGAACCTTGGGTCAAGGTCATGACACATCCTCAATACAATAAGCGACTTTTGTGTAAAACAGGAACTTACCAAGTTTTTCCATAAGACAGATATGTACAAAACATGAATTATGAACTTGTTGCTTTTATAACCTTGAACTTGCATAGATAACATTGCATCAACGTAATGATACACCCTTAGGTTATAAGGAATCTTTATGTGAAATAGGAACTAACCAGTTTACCGATAAGCAATATATGGACCATACACATATTAAGAAATTTTCCTTTCAGTGACCTTGAACTTAAATAAACTTTGCTGAAGGTCATAACACACCAGGTCATAAACCCTCTTTGTGTGAAGTAGTAGATTCAAGTTAATCCAAAATCAAGATATGTGCCAAACATGAATTTTACAATTTTTCTTTTAGTGACCTTGAACATGCACAGATGACCTTGGGTCAAGGTCATGACACACCCTTAGGTCATGAGGAATCTTTTTGTAAAATGGGAACTTACCAAGTTAATCCATAAGAAAGATATGGAACGGACACAAATAATGAAATTTTTCTTCCAGTGACCTTGAACTTCCCCAAATGACCTTGAGTCAAGGTCATGACACACTCTTAGGTCATGAGCAATCTTTGTATGGAGTAGTAGATTCTAATGTTCCTCCGTAAGAAAGATATGGACCGTACATGTTTGCACAGCTAGACAGAGGGACGGACGGATAGACAGATAGACAGACAAGCTGATTCCTATATACACCCCCCCCACAAACTTCGTTTACAGGGGGTATAATGAGAAGTCGTGCCTGTTAAACACAAGACAACCTTATACTTATTCAAATGAAAATAAACCTTAACATCAGCAAGGCTTGTGAAAATGTAGTTTACAGCAACTTTATATTTCAAGTTTTATCTTATTTTACTATCAAAGACCAATCAACTGGTCAAATATCAATGCTCACTAAAAGTATCACAGATATAAACGTAAAACAAGAGTTTTCCATTGAAAATGTGTGTCTCAGGAGTCAGGAATGACATATCAAATTGTGACAGACAGATAGACTGATGGTCAGCTAGTCAGACTGACAGACAATGGAGAAGTGATCCCTAGGAGTCCCCTTGCTATGCAGGCGACACAACTAGGCACCATTACAGCATATCTTGTACCTGATTCTGAGACTGAATTTTTTCTTAAGTGTACTGTCAATTATCTTACAGATATACTTTGCTAGAAATAATAATATATCGTATAAGTGGAAATTTTAGCGAGATGCAAATTTAGCGATTTCTACCAAAGTCTGGTATTTTATTTTTAGCCAGAAGTAATTTTAGCGATTTTAAAATGTTTACTAAAGAAGCTATTACAAACTAGGATACTTATTGTTCACAGAACAATAAGAGGTCTTTCCACCTTTTGAATTTCAATTTCATTTAAGATTTATCTATTTAAAATTAAATTTCATAAAAGAGAAACAAGGAATGGTTTGAAAGAAGAAAAAAAAATGAAAATGAAAATTCTTTTAGGTGACCTTGACCTTTGACCTTCAAGTCATATTCAAGGTCAAAGGTCAAGGGTCACATTGTAATTAACCCCATGTCTCTATGACTTATAGTTTTAAAGTTATAAGGTTTAATAGTAAGCACAAAAGCATTTAAGGGCGGTAACTCATTCAAGAAGTCACCAGATCCTTTTGCACTTGAACATAAAAGTTTTGCCTAAAGTCATATAAGACATTAGCGAAGGTTTCATGTCTTTGCGGTTTACAGTTTTGGAGCAATAGCAATAAAAATGCTTTTCGTACAAAGGGCAATAATTTTTTATAGGGTCAATCTTAAGGGACGAGAATGAAATCTAAGACACAGTTTTAAAAGTACATATTAATGATGCATAGACATTAAGCATATGTTGAAAGACAAAAGAGATATAAAAAGAGCTTAATTTCTCAGT